TTATTAAGAATTAAAGTTAGAGTAATGACAAGTATGCCCTTAAGTGGGCGGCCAGCTAGGCAGTAACATAAAGAGATTAAACAAAAAGAAATAACAGGCCCATTAGCCAACAATAAAAGAAAAGATATTACAAGAGAAGATACTAGGGCCCATTCGGCCCAGTCTCTTTATAGCAGTGTCACTTGATAACTTCCATGTTTAGAAAAGGTTATGTGGCAGCCCCCGGTACTTTTCCCAAAAAATAGACATGTTATAGATAATATTTAGATATTGACATCCATATCCACTATGAGGCTTTTAAAAGGAGGAAAGGAAAAGAATGTTGTTAGGTAAGATTAATTATTGTCATTACATAAATTTTGATTTCATGCACTTGCATGATTTGTAGGCTGCTAATGATCCAATTGCACCATCTCGTGGAATTCCTCGTGAAGATATCAAGGTATGTATGGTGTTGGTAAAGCCAGTCTACTCTTTTTCTTTTATTCTGGCTCACCAAAATGTTATTGTTTTATCGACTTCATATGCAATCTCAGYATGGTACTCCTTTGCTTTTTCATGGTTGATCATTACTCTATAGTTTCAACAAGGTAATTACTAATTAGTCTTACAGTCAGGTATTACCCTACTTTTCTTACCAAAATGTTGTGCCAGCATTTATTTATAGATATATAATGGCATGCCATATTGCAAACTTGGTCATCCATTCTGTCTTGGTTTTGTTAGCCTTTTTCTCATGTTCCTACTTGATTAATGGGTTACATTTCTCCCATCCTTGTACTTATTGATGGGTTTATCTCATTACCCTACTTTTCTTACCAAACTTGGTCATCCATTCTGCCATATTGCATGGTTGCACATGCTGCGTGGCTGCAAACAGTGTCTGATTGTCCAAATTCGAATTTGGTCCCATTAAGGGTGATCTGAATTCGATCTGTTTATAATTGAATAAAATATGGATCCACCCCCATCTGATCCTAAAAATCCAATTATACACACACACAATAAATACTTTTCAAATTCATTCTGTTCATGAAATATAATATCATAGTCATATTTAGTACATTTTATTATTAACATATAACATTTTGATAATTTTTAGTTTAATTTACTTATACTATTCAATATCCTATCACAATCCGAATTTGATTTTAATCTGATATAAATTTGATGGATAAGATGCTTTTCGAATTCAAATATATATTAATCAAATTTAGATCTACTTCATTAATGGGTTACATTTCTTCCATCCTTGTACTTATTGATGGGTTTATCTCATTGATGAGTCAGTATTGATGCTTGGTAGTGTGCATGGTTGCACATGCTGCGTATGGCTGCAAACAGTGTCTGATTGTCCAAATTCGAATTCGGTCCCATTAAGGGTGATCTGAATTCAATCTGTTTATAATTGAATAAACAATGGATCCACCCCCATCTGATCCTAAAAATCCAATTATACACACACACACACACAATAAATCCTTTTCAAATTCATTCTGTTCATGAAATATAATATCATAGTCATATTTAGTACATTTTATTATTAACATATAACATTTCGATAATTTTTAGTTTAATTTACTTATACTATTCAATATCCGATCACAATCCGAATTTGATTTTAATCTGATATAAATTTGATGGATAAGATACTTTTTGAATTCAAATATATATTAATCAAATTTAGATCTACCTATATCTGTTTTGATTCGATCCATTTGCAGCCCTGCATTGGTGTTTCTATGTGCCACTGGTTGTGCATGCAGAAGCATCAAGGGAATGCTAATCCTACTCTCTTAAGTAGAATTGGTGATTTATTCTCATTCTTGTTTTGAACCCTGGTCACTCAGGTTGCAATGGAGCAACCCAACTGTTGCGCCAAGGCTGTTTTAGTAAGTAGACTTCTTAATGGATCCATAAAAAGAGCAAGGGCAAGACCAGATCTCTAATTCTACACATCATAGTAGGATTAGCATAATTCTTTCTACTATCTCCATCCTTACAATTCCTATACATTTCATTTTCTTTTCCCAGTTTCCATCACCATGGTAAAGATTTTCTTGCTCCAGATTCTCTTCAATATGAATGTTGACTTATTCCTTGTATGTTGCTGTAATGGTCCTTAAAGTTGACGTTTCCCATTATAACTCTTCTAGTTTATATTTTCTATCAATTTTTTGAGACACAAAAACAATGTATTTCAAAGTATCTAGGAAAGGGAATAAGTAACCCCAAGAGAGTCCTCTGTTATATCAACTGACCAAGGAACCCATAAGAACAAGAGTGACCTGCTCCAGTGGTCCATGAAAAACTCATGTCCACTCTATCGTTATCATCCCTCCAAAAATCTCCAGTACCAGTACCCTGATCACCAACATAGCATCTCAATATTTCACAATGCTCTCTGGTGGGGGAATCACCCCATCTGATTAGAAGCAGATCTAGATTAGGGTTTTCTAACACAACTCCACATCAATATATCTGGATTAATCCCTTAGAATGACATGAATGTTGTAACAAATGCTCAAGACCATTGTATAAATTGGTTCCCAAGGATGGAAATTAACCAACCCCCCCAGAACAGTTAAAAAAAAATAAAAAAATGAAGTGCCCAACGATATCCAAGAAATTTCCAATAAGCCAATGGGTATCGTAAGTAATGTCTTAAAATGCTGAAATGAGATATTGCTGTTGCTTTGCATGTTATAATCTCTGTTAACTCCCCTGTCTCTCAATTTATCTGTAAGTGGTGTACCAACAACAATATTCATTTTTGTCAGGAAAACCCAAATTGTTTGTTGATAGTTACCCCCAAAGGTGGTCATCTTGGGTGGGTAGCAGGGGCTGAAGCTCCGCTAGGAGCTCCTTGGACTGATCCTGTAGTAATGGAATTTCTAGAGCATCTCGAGAGAGGACGAACTGATGCCTTTCCATCTTGTAATAAATCAAATGTTGTGCAACATTCTTCAGAGGAATTGCAGATACTAGAAGTGTAGCATGGAAATCAGCTATTATTATCATTTCTGTTGTAATGTTTATTGTTTATTTATATTTCCAAATATATTCACGTAAGACAAAAACAAGCTCTGCTGGGGATAACCATGCAAAATTGGCTATGCAATTGTAATCAGAATTTTATAGATGATGAGAAGCTAAAAGATGCTTTAACACCTTAAAGATCTTATAGATAAAACTTGCTAGTTGGATGACCGTCCTGATTCTCATGCAAACATGAGATTACTACGTTGTAAGAATCCAAACATGAGACTACGCACTTTTAAGTAATGAACTTTCAACGATCGGGTAGTGCCCATGTAATATCCTTACCCTCTCATGTGCATGCATTTTCATTAGGCTGTGTTTGGATTGCAGGAGCAGTAGGGGTGCTCAACGTGGGGTGATTTTCTGGACCGAACCGACCTGTTCGGTTTTTAAATCTAATCGAATGGAAACCGAACTAATGCAACCGATTAATCAGTTGACTGGTTAACTGTGGTTCCGTTTTTCGGTTTTTTTCATGCCCTCAAAATTAAAAAAAAAGGGAAAAAACCTTCCCTCTTGCAGGTGAGCTGTGTAGGGATCACCCATCGGATAGGAGCAACCAGATGATTGATCCATTGAAGCCATAAGAAAGCATAATAGAAGGGAAAAGTTGATAGGGAGAACCTGCACAAGGGAACCCTGCACTCATCGGAGTTGGCACAGAGGCGGGAGTGAAGTTCGAGGAGCTGCCACATTCTCTTGCAATGGATGCAACCTCCAGGAAGCCAGGAACTCTCAACTTGCAAGCAGCAAAGTGACGGACAAGCAACTCAAGCCCCTTGCATGCTGAAAAAGTACAGGGTGGCTGGTCCCCCTTGAGAACTTTGTCATGGGGGCCAATTGTTCTACATCCATCTCTGCATATGTGAACAAGGGCTTCCATTTTCTCGTATAGTTGTAAATAGATCTTCCCCTCTTCAACCTTTTTCATCCTTTCTTGCTTTCTCTGCAAACAAAAACTAAGCATACTGAGAGGTTGGATAAAAGGGTTGGGAGCCCAACTTTCACTATTATCATTTGCCAGCCACATCCATTAATGATTGTAGCTAATATTCTATCCATTGCTCTGAGCTACCATGAGAAAGAAATCTCATCGTTGGCCAGAGGCCGGAGGTCGTCAATAGGTCTGGCCTGTTGGGGAAGAAGAAGAGTCTGAGAGAGAGGATACAGAACAGAGATGAGACAGGGATTCAATTTCAATTTTTAAAAATATTATATACATTATATAATATTATATATATATATATATATATGATATTATTAGTATATACCGGTCTATATTGGGTAACCAAAACCGAACCGAAAGCTTCAGTTTTTTAAAAAACACCGAACCAAAACTAAACCGATCGGTTCGGTTAACCGATTTTTCGATTCGATTTTGGTTGGTTCGGTTTTTTGGTTTTTTTGCTTACCCCTAAGGAGAGGAATTAAGTTCTGTAGAAATGAAATTATCAGCTCCACCATCATTTCGAATTCCATATTTGGTAGGAATTTGAAGGCAAATTTTATGGAGATCAAATCAGCCCCCCACAAGGTTCCACATCACATCTCCTCTGTGTATTGGGAACATCTCCCAATGATGACATCATCATTTCTGGTATTACTATTGGAAGATGTTCTCAATACGTGGCGGGGATGTGCTGTGGGACGTTGTGGGGGGCTGAATTGAACTCAAATTTATGACATTCCAATTTTAATACCAAATATAATAGTGATATTTTACAAGTAGGGAGTCTCTTTCATTTGGGTTAAAAGATTAGTTTAGATAGAAATTGGATGGACAAGAAAAAGGAGTCTCTTTCATTTTTGGCATAAATAATTGCCTAAAGATTGGACGTTTGGTGTGTCCGGAAGCGCATCGTTAAACACTTCAGAACACCAGTTTAAACATTTATAATTTTATTCCAATTCTCAAACAACTACTAATGCAGTAAAGTGATGAGAACGGGTCGTATCCACAGGGAAACAAGGGAAAAATAATTATGTACTTAGATCTGGGAGAAGAAAATGCAAGTGGGAGATGTAGAAATAAAAAAAAATTAATTAATTAAAAATGGAATTCATTAAAACCACATTCGAACAGTACTGAGAATAACAACTGCATAAGAATAAATAAATAACAGGAACGGAATAAAAATGTTTGAGAATCCGATCAGAGGTAGCAGTCTTCGGATCTCTCCTTCGACCCTTGAACTTCTCAAGCTAGGCCTTCCGTCTTACTTGGCTAAATTCCAGATTTGCAGAAAAGAAAACGAAGATCAAGCGGAATGAAAATAAATTGCAGAAAGAAAGAAACGGAACTGAAAATGCAAGAACAAAAATTAAAACTAAAACTAAAGAGACTGGTTGGGATCTGATTCCAGAGGTGGCAGTAGTGGTGTCGGTGAACTGCAAGTAGGAACCCCTCCTCTTGCMTGGGCGTTCTCCTCTTCCTCTACCCTTGAACTTCTCAAGATCAGCCTTCCGTCTTACCTGGGGGCCTTAGAGTTAGATAGGTTGTATTGGGACTGTGTATAGGTTTGACATGGTTGAGCGGGTTGAGTCCCATGGTAATCATTGTGCTCCTAGTGGGTCTGTGCTTCAGACCATTGAGAGTGCATATCTAGTAGGGGGTTTTCTTGGACTTGGACCCTATAATTGAAATTGGATTGATTTTCCCACCCTGGGTTATATGGACTAGAGGATGAGTTAGCCTTGGGTTGGAAAAATCTGTTGGCCACATGTATTTGGTTTGGACGGATTGGTTGACGAGGGCCCGCCGCAGGGCACTAGTTGACATAATGGACCGGGCTTGCATAGATGGAACATGATGGATAGGATGACAAGGTTGGGTGGGCCACTTTGTTGACGACGTGCAAGGACTTGGTCAAATCTTTGGGTCATACCATTAATCTTGTACAGTTGTTGAGACACATGGTTCCAATCTATTTGTAGCTTAGGTTGGAAGTAATTTCTCATTCCACAAACTCCGGCCATTGAATTCATTTTATTTTAACCCCCTTTTTCTTTTTTTTTTGAAATTTGAAATTTAAATTTTGAATTTTATTTTCAAATTTAGATCTTGAAATTTAAATTCTGAAATTTAAGCTCAAATTTGATTTTTTAATTTTTTTAATTCGAAATTTAAATTCAAATTCAGATTTTGAAATTTAAATTCCTAAAGTTTAAATTCAAATTTGAATTTTAAAATTTTTTTTCTTTTCTTTTTTTATTATTTATTATTTTTTAAAGGCAAACAAATCAATCACACGACCTAGGGATTGACTTAGGGTTTCCTAAACTAGTGGTTCAACTAATGTGAATCCTTTTAGGTTCATTTGAAATTACATCACTTCCTTTGGTTAGACAGGTAAGAGGTGGGGATGTGGGAGGCTCCCCTTGCTCTCGTAAGTACCTAATTAAGTAACCACAAAACTTGCTTAGGCGTAGCCATTTAATCTCTTTTCTTAGACACTAACCGCCGGTTATGGAAAGTAATTTCAAGCTTCCCTAAAGTTCAACACACCTTTGAACCAACTGTGAGGCTTCCCTAATGGATATTTCTATCCAAATTTTAAATTAGGGCTAGGGTGAACCGCAAGTGAATGGTGGTGATTTTTGGGCCAAGGAAGGGTGATGAAATCCCCACCTTATCTTATTTAAGTTGGATGCCCTTAAATGAATTAACGGAAAGACAAAATAAACACAACAAAATGAAACTAACTACAATTCATGAACAATTATTTCTAAGATGCAATTCAGCAATTAAACCTAAAAGAATAAAGCAAACAAACTAAACAAAAGGAACAATTAAAATAATAAAAAGAACACCCAACATATTCACAACTAACAATAATAATTTCAGCAATTAAATAAACCTATATGATGCATGCTCTAGAATATAAAACCCTATATATTGGAATGAAAATGCAGGAAAGATATTAACCAATTTTTTTTTTGATTTTTTTAATTCAAAATTTAGATTTTTGGAAATTTAAATTCAAATTCCTAAAATTTAAATTCGATTTCTTTAAAATTTTAACTTTTTTTTTCAATTTTTTTAAATTAAAAAAATTTAACATTTAAATTTTGAAAATTGAGATTGAAATTCAGATTCAAATTAAAATTAAAATTTAAATTCAGATTTGAAATTTAAACTCAAATTCGAAAATTTCAACAATTTCCTATTTAGCAATTAATTTTTCAATTAAACAAATAAAAGAAGATAAATTCTAACAAACAAATTGCTAATCTAAAAATTAAATTGAAAATAAAATGACCGTAAAGAAAATTATGCAAGAAATAAATAAAATAAAAGAAAAAAATACAAATCAAAAAAATTAAACCAAAAATAAAATAAACAAAAGAAAAAATATGCTGAATTTTTTTATTTATTTTTTTTTTCGTTTTTTTAATAAAAGAAAAACACAAATATAAAAATTAATACGAAAATAAAATTAATGAAAGAAAAATACGCTGCAAAAATAAATAAAATAAAATAAACGAAAATTATTTTATTTCTTTTTTTTGTTTTATTGTTTTTTATCTGAAATAAAAGAAAAAAACAAATCTAAAATTTAAACCGAAAATAAAATAGAATAAAATAAACAAAAGAAAATTATGCTGCAAGAAATAAAATAAAATAAAATAAACGAATTTTCTTTTTTTTTTTGTTTTTTAATCTAAAATAAAAGAAAAACACAAGCCTAATAAAACAAAAAAATCCAATAAGAAATTAAAATAGAGAAAAAAATAGATATAGAGAGAAAATACTAAAAAAAATAAATTAGATCTAAAAAAAATTTGAAAATCACTATTCTACCAAAAAAAGGAGTTGGAAAATAAAAACAAAAAATTAAAAATAAAATGGGACGGCTACACCTGAAACACAATCCAATTTCTTTTCTCTTCTCTTCCGTCCCATAGTTCAATTTCAGTGAAATTTTAATTGTACTTTTCTAAAGGCTAGCTTCTCATTTTTTTTTTCAATTTCTCTCTCTCTCTCTATCTCCTTACCCCCCAACTTAAATGCAATTGTCCCCAATGGCATGACTAGAATGATGCAAAGAAGATTTTGGCCAAAGGGAACAACGAGTAGGGTTTTCCTGAGGGGTTCAAGGTCTGTCACCTAGTCTCGAATCAAGAAAATAAAAAAA